TTCCTGTGTTCCTGAAGTACGTTCCTGTTGCCGATCCTGCTTGTCCTGAATTGTGTTGACCTTCTCCTGCTCTGACCCCCAGCTAGTCCCTGACTACTCTTCTGCCTGTTGTTATATTATTATTGGACCTCCCGTTGCTGAACCTTGGCTCGTGACCCGGCTACTCTCTGTCTTCTGTTTGGTACCTACCTGCCTCCACTGTTACCGACCCGGCTAGTCTGACTACGCTCACTCCTGACTGTCATCCATCCATCCCGCTCGGGACCTGGACTTGTCAGCCTCTTCACTTCAGGCTCACCCCTGGCACATACCCTCAGCAGGACCCCTCTACCACAGTTGGGTGCACTCAGGGGTCGCGACCTGGTTTCAGTCTTGCACCAAGTCCATACCCACCATCAGGGGCTCTGGTGAAAAGGCAGACTGGGACTTAGACTCCGCGTCCTGGGGAACCCTGTTCTGTGGATCACTAGAGATCCCGCTGGGCGGTGTCTGACAAGTACTGTTCGTCCAAGCAGTACTGATACAGAATGTTTTTTGGGAAAAAAAATTATTTGCACTAACATACAATTTTGAGTGGACAAGCTTTTTCTTTCCTGAATGGATTTGAAATTTCCTTTAAGAACTAAAATATTGAGGTCTCCCAAAGTGTGGTCTGGTTGTGCAAAATTACATTACTAGAGGTGCAGCTGTATGATCCTGGAGATATTGAAGATCCTTTTTGAGTGTCTGACATTTTTTGATGGATTGATTTGGTTGCACAGTTTGCAGCGTTTTTTATTGCAGGGTTTGCTTCCATTCTTTGTGACATCATAATCAGAAGGAAGTTTCCTACTGATTAGTTTATTTCTGAGGTTGGGGGGTTGTCTGAAGGTCAGTATTGGTGGTTTCTGGAATATTTCTTTCAGAGTTCCATCCTCTGTTATGATGGGTTGTAAATCTTTGATTATTTTTCTTATTCCTTCTAGTGCTGGGCTGTATGTGCTTATTAGAGGTACACGGTTGTTTGTTTCTTTCTCTTTGTACTGAAGTAGATTTTCCCTTCGGGTTCTCAAGGCTGTGTTTATGCTGGTGTTGATAGTTTTTGTCCTTGTAACCTTTCTTATGGAAGGAGTCTGCTAGTGTCCCGAGATGTTTATCTCTGTCTCGTGGGTCAGAACATATTGGTGGTATCTGATGGCCTGACTGTGTATGATGGCACATTTCGTGTGTTGGGGGTGGAAGCTAGAACTGTGGAGGTAGTTGCATCTGTCGGTGGGTTTCCTGTATATTGAGGTGTGAAGCGTATCATTCCTGATGTATACTGTGGTGTCTAGGAAGTTGACGTGTGTGTTAGAGTATTCCATTTTTAGTTTGATTGATGGATGAAAAGTGTTGATCAATGAGTAAAATTGTTTTTTAGGTATTCTTCACCTTCTGTCCATATGATGAAAATATCATCAATATAGCGATAGTATCTGTATGTTTTTTTTTTCCATGCTGTTCAGGAATTTTTCCTCCAGGTCAGCCATAAATAAATTGGCATATTGGGGTGCCAGTTTACTTCCCATCGCAGTACCCATACATTGAAGATAGACGTCTTTATTGAAAGTAAAGTAGTTGTGTGTAAGTATGAATTCAATGAGCTGTGTAACATCCTCAGCAGTGTATTTGTGGTTTGGTGAGGATGATAAGGATCTGTGACATGCAGCTAATCCATCCTTGTGAGGGATATTACTATACAGGGATACTACATCCATAGTCACTAGAAGTGTATTAGATGGTAATTGCTGTATGTTGTTGATCTTGTTCAGAAAGTCAGTTGTGTCTTGCAGGAAACTAGCAGTATTCTTGACTAACGGTTTTAAAATTTTTTTTTTTCTACAAAGCCTGAGATTTGTTCTGTGAGTGTGTTCATACCTGTTATGATGGGTCTGCCTGGATTTCCTGGCTTGTGGATTTTGGGCAGCTTGTAGAAGTCCTCGATTTCTGGATGATCCGTAATCTCATTTATAAGTTCTGAATGTAGGTGGGCTGGAAGTGTTTTAATGAGACCTTTTAATTGCTTTGTAATGTCCTGGGTCGGATCATAATCCAGTTTCTTATAGTAGATGGCATTTTCCAGCTGCCTCTGGCCTTCTTGTATGTATTTGTTTGTATCCATCACAACAACTGCTCCCCCTTTATCCGCTGGTTTGATGGTGATGGCCTGATTATTGCGCAAATCGTGTATAGCCCTTCGCTCTAGTGGTGAAAGATTGTACAGAATTTTCTTTTTCTGGGCGGATATCAGGGATGTAGCTCGCAATCTGAAACTGTCAATATAGGTGTCCAGTTTGGGGTTGCGTCCTTGTGGAGGTGTGAAGCAGCTGTTCTTTTTCTTTGTGTAGCACTCCATTGTCCTAGGATTCCTTTCATTGCTGTGGAAAATATTCTTTGAGCCTTAGTCTCCTGAAGAAATCCTCCATATCTGACAATACTTGTAAATGATCCAAAAGGGATCTTCAATATCTCCGGATCATACAGCTGCACCTCTAGTAATGTTGTGTACCTTATCCAGTGCAGAAAATGTAGCAAAGGATCTTATGTTCGCGAAACAGGACAGAAGTTGCAAACAAGGATGAATTTGTACAGACATACCATCAAGGAACATAAAGAAGATGACCTTTGCACACCTGTGGGACACAATCTTGCACAACCAGACCACACGTTGGGAGACTTCAATATTTTAGTTCTTAAAGGAAATTTCAAATCCATTCAGGAAAGAAAAACTTTTGAACTAAGAATGATAATTCTATTTGACACAAGAGATAACGGCCTGAATTTGGACATGGGATTCCTCACTCATTATCCAACAGTTTTATGACTATCACCTCAACCTCAAGCATGACTGCCCCCCCAGACTTTGCTTTTGCTGTGTCTTATCTCTGTTTCTCTTTTTTTTTTTTTACCCATCCCCTACATCTCTTCCAACATTCTGCTAAAAAATTGTGATCAGTACTGCTTGGACCTGAAGAAGGGGACATTCCCCGAAAGCTTGTCCTCAAAATTGTATGTTAGTGCAAATAAAAAAAAGTATCACAGACAGTACTCACTTGTTTCTGTGTATGGAAATAAAAGCTATTAGCAGGATTTTGAGCTTTATTCACTTTTTTCAACACACTGCTATTATTTTGAACACAACTCTACAAAGGTTTATTTGATATGGGATCCACAATGGATGTTAGTTTAGATTTAGATTGCCTAATTATCTCGCGAGCATCTTACCCACTTAATTCCCTTGTGTGTAAAATGTAGTTTTAGCTTTTTTCAAATTGATAGCATGTCGCAATGACATAAGGGTCCTAGGTTCCAGCCTAGCATTTTGAAGGTCCTGTAGGACACTGGGAAATAAGGATTGCTTATGGAGATGTTCTAATCTAGCTATCCTGTTAACCACTTCTAAAAAGGATTTATTCCTATCACATCTTGCCTGTGAAGCCAGTTTCAGTAAAAGACCTCTACAGTATGCTTTATGGGCACACCACGTACTGAAAACATTCATAATAGGAGAGGAATTGATATCGAAAAATTCCTGTAACGCTGTGGTAAGAGTGAAACGAATAGGATGTATTTCTGCAACGGAAACATTTTGTAATAATTGAATATCCGTCAAGAAGAAGTCAATTCTTGAGTTGGAATTATGGGGTACGGAATAATGCGTATAGTCCCTCTCAGAAGCGTGTAGACATCTCCAGGGGTCATACAGATTAGCCTGGGAGAGCACATTAGCAAGTGAATGTCTTAGGGTACGAGAAGAGTGTGTGTGACATCCAAGGATGAATTAATAATGGTGTTAAAATCTCCACAGAAAAGTAGGAAGCCCTTCTGAATTTTGGCCACCTTTTTTCGCAATGAATTTAGGAAATGGATCTGGTGAACATTGGGGGCGTATAAATAGATAATGGTATAAGTGATGTTGTTGATTTCACAGATAATAATTAGGTATCTGCCTTTACTATCAGATTCTTGGGACAGCAACGAGAATGCAAAGTTACGAATGGCTATGAGAACGCCACATTTCTTATCCGGGCCGTTGGACATGTATACATGTGGAAATCGGTGTGATCAGTGTGGAACTTTGTTAGAGGCAAAATGTGTTTCTTGGACACAAATGACGCCAGCCAACCATTGTGCCTCTCTCTATTGAGTCCATGAGCATTCATAGATACTATTTTTAGAACCATGGTGGATGTAGGGTAGATGATGCAGGGACGCTCTCAAATAGTGTGATGAAAAATTGCATAAATTTGCATTAAAAAAGAGGTGTTCCAGATGGATAGGCTTCCAACGAAGAGTGCAGAGTTGTGTCGTCATATAGCAGTAGGGAAGCGAAATGCTGTGTTCCCATATTTGGTCAATTCCTGTGCTCTGTAGGATGAAAGTTGGCAAAAAGGAAGAAAAAGAATAGAGGAAAACAAAAATAACATACAACAAGTAACTTGTGTGAACTTAACCACTTGCCTACCGGGCACTTATACCCCCTTCTTTACAAGGCCAATTTTCAGCTTTCAGCGCTGTCGCACTTTTATTGACAATTGCCCGGTCATGCAAGATTGTACCCATATGACATTTTTATCATTTTTTTTCTCACAATAGAGCTTTCTTTTGGTGGTATTTAATCGCCACTGGGCGCTTTACTATAAACAAAAAAATTGCAAAAAATTTGAAAAAAAAAAAAAGTTTCTTTGTTTCTATTATACAATTTTTCAAACAGATAATTTTTCTCCTTCACTGATGTGTGTTGATGAGGCAGCACTGATGGGCACTGATAGGCAGCACTGAAGGGCACTGATAGGCAGCACTAATGAGGTGGCACGGATAGGCGGCACTGATAGGCAGCACTAATGAGGTGTTCACGGATAGGCGGCACTGATAGGCGACACTGATGATGGGTACTGATAGACAGCACTGATAGGTGGCACTGACTGGCATCACTGCTGGGCACTGACTGGCGGCACTGCTGGGGCACTGACTGGCACAACCGCTGGGCACTGACTGGTGCCACTGACTGGCAGCACTGCTGGGCTGCACTGATGGGCAGAGGTGGGTGGCACTGCTGGGCACAGGTAGGTGGCACTTCTGGGCACACTTGTGTGACACTGCTGGGTGGCACAGGTGAGTGCACTGCTGGGCACAAGTGGATGCACTGCTGGGCACAGGTGGGCGGAGCTAGTGGGCACACTGCTGGGTGGAGTTAGTGGGCGCACTGCTGGGCACAGGTGGGCGGAACTTGTGGGTGGTACTCGGAGGGAGTCAGTCCGATAGTCGGACCACGAGAGCACAGCTCCAGCAGTCAGCGGCGGTCTGAAATATATTTGTACTACCACTATACGAATTTATGTGAGTGCCACCTGTCAGCACAATTAAAGCTTTTAAAACGATAAAGCACCATGTCAGGATTTTTCTTGTTTATGGAGAACCGCAAGGAGACAGGAAGATATTGGAGTGGCATCCCATGAGAGGAGATCTTTTTTCACTGCACATGTCGCAGTCTATGGATATCTTTCACACAGGAGTTCCTAAAATAAGTAGGTTCCAAAGGAGGTGAACCGCAAGCTTTAATAGCCTAATTGTAGGCTACCCATGAGGTGAGCGCATATCTTCACTTAAGGGAGGAGGCACAAGCAGTCACCGATTTAATAATATTGAAGATTTTTCAGCACAAAGTCACTGTTTTTGTGGGACATTATTATTATACAGAATCATATATATTTATTTTCTCATTTAATAATATTGAAGATTTTGCAGCACAAAGTCACTGTTTCTGTGGGACATTATTATTATACAGAATCATATATTTTTCAATTTTATTTTTATTCATTAGTATATATTTTTTTCACAGTTTTAAGTATATTGTTCATTTTAGTGACTCTATAAGATTCACAAATATAGTAATTTATGTTTACCAATACACATTTCTTTATGTAGATGCACAGATGGAAGTGTTGTGAGCGCAATACCTTATTTATTTTTATTTTCACGGTTTTCACATTGGTAGTTATGTGCTAAAGGTGTGCGATCCAACAACAGGAATTTTAATATTGGGCTCGCAAGATTCTTTTCAAATATTTGTGGGTGGTACTGCTGGGCACCGAGTGCCCTGATGATCGGTGCCGATCCCTGCTCTAACAACTGCTGGTTCTCGGCAGTACTTTCCTCACGATCTGACAGCGTGAGGAAAGTGCAGCCGAGAACCGGCAATTGCATTTCCCAGTGATCAGCGTGTCATTTGACACGGCTGATCACGTGGTAAAAGGCCGCTGTGATTGGTCTTTTACCACATCACATGGTCAGCTGTGTCTGTAGGACACAGCGATCACAGAGATCACCGGGTGCGCGCCCCCAGGGGCGCGCAGGAGAGCGCGTTCCGGGAGGATGTCATATGCAGCCGTCATTCGGCTATTTGTGGTCGGCAAGTAGTTAATCACTTCAACAGGTGGGGGTTCAATGCCGAGAGGTGCAGCTTAATGATTGGCTGTCCAAGTGTACAGCGGGTAGGCAACAAGGAACTAGGAAGCATAGGAGAAAGCACAATGCGGTATCTCATCCCGCTACTTGTTCCCAGTCAGGAGTAATTTTCCTGGGAGAAGCTTTGGCAGGAGTTGGTTTGCCATCCGCTGGCAGGAGGCCCCACTTTCTACCTAGCTGGAATCCTTCCACTTCAGATTTGACCGTTATCACACGGTTGTCTTTAGAGATAAGCAGTTTGGTAGGGAAACCCCACTGATATTTGATATCGTTGTTTCGTAACAGTTTCGTGAAAGATAGCAATTTTTTGCGGGCTAGTATAGTATGTTGAGAAAGGTCGGTAAGGAAGGAGATCCCAGCATAAGGGTCTGGGAGCGGGTTATTTTTCCAAGCATATAGCATTAGTTCCTCCTTAACATGATAAAAGTGAATTCTTGCTATAGTGTCTCTTGGAACATGATTGGGAAGAAAGGAGGGTTTTGGCAGTCTGTGTGGCCCTGTCCACTACTACTTCTCTTTTCGGAGTATGAGGTAGCAGAGCGGAAATCATTTGCTGAATATATTTGCGTAGATGTGCAGTAGGAACATTTTCGCCAATACCCCTGAATTTAATGGTATTCCTGAGGGAACGGTGTCTTCTAGGTCCGCTAGTTTCACCTTTATTGCTGTTAGGTCATCTTCAGCCTCATTATGTGCTTCAACTAATTCGTTATGGGCTTTAGCGACTTCACCCATTTTAGTTTCCACATGTGTTACCCGCTCTCCCAGACTTTCAATATAAGTCTAGCCTTTATCTCGACTCAAAGGGGTCTTCAGGGACTGAGTGCCATAGTGATGGACCACAGCCCTGGACCTGTATAACCTCCTATGGCTGTCTAAAGGCATTGCACCAAGTACCAAGGTGAGCACCCATGCAGGATCCAGTGCTGAAACAAACATTATAGGTCATCTTTACAGCAAGGCAGCTAGCTTTCAAGATTTTACCGAACTTGCACCAATCCAGATAAACTGCTTTTGTGTAGGTATTAGAAGACAGTGAGGTGTTGATTGAAAAATTTTAAGAAAATAATACAATTATATATATAAAATATCAATCTATCTATCTACATATACTGTACACACAAAGTACTGTGCAAAAGTTTGTGGGCAGGTGTGAAGAAGTGCTGTAAAATAAGAATGCTTGCAAAAAACATATATTTTAATTATTTATTTTGATCAATTAGAGTGAACAGAAGAAAAATCAAAATCAAATCAACAATGTGGTGTTACTATACTTTGGCATCCAACCAGCATCAATTCTTACACTTGCACATAGTCAGGGATTTTGTTGGATTAGAGTCAGTTGTATGATTAATCAATATACCAAACAGGTGCTAATGTTCATTCATTTTTCACACTGTATGTAGATTGAAACACAGTCATTGACTAAAACAGAAACAGCTGTGTAGGCTTAAAACTGGGAGAGGAACAGCCAAACTTTGGTACTAAGGAGGGATTATGGAAGACAGTTTTGTGTCATAGGTCATACACCATGGCAAGACACAACAACAATACACAAGGTAGTTATACTGCATGGGCAAGATCTTTCCCAGAGAAAGATTTCAAAGCAGACTGGGATTTCAAGATGTGCTGTTCAAGCTCTTTTGAAGAAGCACAAAGAAATGGGCAATGTTGACAATCACAGATGTACTGCTCATCCAAGTAAACGTAATGCAGCAGATGAAAGACACATCATGGTTACTTCCCTTCCACCTCCAAGAGTGTGATCATCACAGAACTTACAGAAACCAGAGGAATCCAGGTACGCCCATCTATTATCAGGAGTTGTCTGTCCAGAAGTCTTCATGGAAGAATTGAGGTCAAACAGCCAAGCCTCTAATGTAGAAACAAGGCTAAGTGACACAACTAAGCACAAATACATAGGAACTGAGATGCAGAAAAATGTCAGCAGGTGTTCTGGACTTATGAGTCAAAATTTGAAATATTTGGCTGTACCAGGAGGCAGTTTGTTCACCAAAAGGCTAGAGAGCAGTCTGCATGCAACAGTGAAGCATGGTGGAGGTTCCTTGCAAGTTTGGGGCTGCATTTCTGCAAATAAAGTTGGGGATTTGGTCAGGATCAATGATGTCCTCAATGTTGAGAGATACAGACAGAAACTTATCCATAATGCCATACCATCAGGGGGGCATATGGTTGGTCCCAGATTTATCCTACAGCAGGACAATGGCCCCAAACATACAGTCAATGTTGTTAGGAACTAATAATTGAAGCTGTTTGAAGGTAAAGGTTGGTTACTGCAAATATTGATTTGATTTAGATTTCTCTTCTGTTCATTTACTTTCCATTTTGTTAATTGATAAAAAAAAAATAAACCATCAACACTTCTTTTGCTGAAAGCATTTTTAAATTTACAGCATTTTTTTTTTACATTAGCCTAAAACTTTTGAAGTATATATATATATATATATATATATATATATACAGTTGTGTTCAAAATAATAGCAGTGTGTTGAAAAAAGTGAATAAAGCTCAAAATCCTTCTAATAGCTTTTATTTCCATACACACAAATGCATTGGGAACACTAAACATTCTACTCCAAATCAAAACATGAAGAAAAATATATCAAATTTGTGTTGTTCCTCTAAAGAAATTGAAGAAAAGTGAATATCAGACTGTTCAAAAAAATAGCAGTGTTTGTATTCTTCTTTACAAACTCAAACATTCACTTTATATACTGCTTGGACTTTGAAGAAGGGGACATACCCTGAAAGCTTGTCCTCAAAATTGTATGTAAGTGCAAATAAAAAAAGTATCAAGGACAGTACTCAGTTACTATATAAACTGAAAAATGTTTGAAGATTTTGCTTTTCTTTGAATCACTTAATTAATATTTAGTTGTATAACTACTGTTTCTGAGAACTGCTGTACATCTGTGTTGCATGGAGTCAACCACCAACTTCTGGTACCTGTGAACAGGTATTCCAGGCCAGGATGATTGGACTAATTTCCACAGTTCTTCTCTATTTCTTGGTTTTGCCTCAGAAACTGCATTTTTGATGTCGCCCCACAAGTTTTCTATTGGATTGGATTAAGATCCGGGGATTGGGCTGGCCACTCCATAATGTCAATTTTGTTGGTCTGACCAACCAAGATGTTGCACGTTTACTGGTGTGTTTGGGGTCATTATCTTGTTTGAACACCCATTTCAATGGCATTTCCTCTTCAGCATAAGGCAGCATGACCTTTTCAAGTATTCTGATGTATTCAAACTGATCCATGATCCCTAGTATGCGATAAATTGGCCCAACACCGTAGTATAAGAAACATCCCCATATCATGATGCTTGCGCAACCATGCTTCACTGTCTTCACAGTGTACTGTGGCTTGAATTCAGTGTTTGGGGGTCGTCTGACAAACTGTCTCCGGCCACTAGACCCAAAAAGAACAATCTTACTTTCATCAGTCCACAAAATGTTGCACCATTTCTCTTTAGGCCAGTCAATGTGCTCTTTGGCAAATTGTAACCTCTTCAGCACATGTCTTTTTTTCAACAGTGAGACTTTGCGGGGGCTTCTTGCAGATAGCTTAGCTTCACATAGGTGTCTACTAATTGTAACAGTACTCACAGGTAACTTTAGACCTTCTTTGATCTTCCTGGAGCTGATTGTTGGCTGAGTCCTTGCCATTTTGGCTATTCTATCCATTCAAATGGTAGTTTTTCGCTTTCTTCCTTGTCTTTCAGGTTTTGGTTGCCATTTTAAAGCATTTGCGATCATTTTAGCTGAGCAGCCTATCATTTTCTGCACTTCTTTATATGTTTTCCCCTCTCCAATCAACTTTTTAATCAAGGTACGCTGTTCTTCTGAACAATGTCTGGAACGACCCATTTTCCTCAGAATTTCAGAGAGAAATGCACTGTAACCAGCATGTACAACATTTGCTGCCTTCCTTCCTTAAATAAGGGCAATAATTGCCACCTGTTTTTCAAAGAATGAACGACCTCACTAATAGAACTCCACACTGCTATTATTTTGAACATGCCCCTTTCAATTAGTGATTCAATTACACAGAATCAGCAGCATGCATGTCATGACTGTTGGGTCTGTTGGATTTCTATTACTCTACTACACCTGCTAGTAAATTATTTGCCATGTAGAAAATATTATTTCTACCAAAAACAGTGATTGATCAGGTTAGTGATGTCTGACTGCTAATATTTTGAAACACAACTGTATGTATATATATATATATATATATATATATATATATATATATATATATATATATATATACTTTATACAGTGCATATAAAAAGTCTACACACCCCTGTTAAAATGTCAGGTTTCTGTGATGTAAAAAAAGGAGACAAAGATAAATAATTTCCAAACTTTTTCCACCTTTAATGTAGCCTATGAACTGTACAACTCAGTTGAACAACAAACTGAAATCTTTTAGATGGAGGGAAGTAAAAATAAAAAACTAAAATAATATGGTTGCATAAGTATGCACACCCTTAAAACTACTACTTTGTTGAAGCAACTTTTTTTTTTTTTTAAATTCTTTATTTTGAAGAAATGGCTTAACAAGTCATTCAGAAAGAACAATAACAATAAAAAAGTATAATCCAGCGTACTGAGGTTTTGCAAATCCCATATAGAAAGACATTTATATAAACATCATCTAA